AAAAGATTATATTGAGGCGATCAACATCATACAGTATATGATATTAAGTGCATATAAAATGAAAAGGGGTGTGGAGAGAGATTACATGTTTTGCGTGGTGCTAGTGGTTTAGTAATTAATATATGCCGACCCCTTCTTCTGTGACCAGGGCTAGTTAGTTGTATTACTCGTGGTGCCTTTATTTTTAGGAGAATTTTTTTTTGCTTGGTTTGCTTGCTGTTTCATTGACGTACATTCGCACGTAAAACACATCAATTATTAAGCAATAATTAAGAGATACTATCATCTGTAATATTTGTTTACACCGATTAGGATTGCACTACCAGTATATCAAATTAAATACAAAACGAGATGAATCAGATAAGAATTATTAATTACAAGAATAAGCATATGGAACGATTCAGCTGAAATTAGTATTTACTAACAGTAAAGCTTCATACGGAAACTTGAAAAGGAGTGCTTAGCTTATGGAATTTAATACCAGTCTTTTTCGAAAAGCCTGGTTTTTATTCATCGATTGAATTTTAAACTATCCGGATGATTAACAATAGCATTAAATCAATATGAAACAGACTTTGATGTAAAGATTGTTTTTAAATTTCATTATATATTGCTCTCTTCGGAACAGAACCTGTTAGCTTCGTATATGAGTTTGTTTGCAGTAGTACCGCATTAGGCTATGTCAAAGTGATGAACATTGCGTGAATGGGAAACAAATATTCCCTGGTTCAGATAATATTATGGACAGTTTGTTGGGGTCCGAAAATAAGCGTTAGCGTTTATTCTTAATAAACAACTTCTAGAAGAATGGTTATCGGAACTTATTCTTAAACATGGTACGAATTCGATACTTTGAAAACCATCCCTTTTACGCACGGTGTTATGCCCTCATGTAGAAATGTTTGTTTAAATTTTAATATCAATTATATTTCAAGTTACAGACAATCTAAGTTGTCATTGACCCAACACCATTATCAATAGTATATGTTTAGTACAAGTGGACAAGTCAAATAAAGTAAGTTTACAAGAAAATATATCTGCTAAAACAGTATTGGGTTTAATACAAGACGTTTGTTTTAGATTGATCATACTGTAAATTCAGAAATTATTTCGTGCATTTATTATCGCGATTTTTGAAGATTGAACAAAAATGCGAGATTGATTATTGTGATTTCTAGGATAGATTTCTTTAGACTTATTTGGAACACTTTTTCAAATTTCTGGTTTTAATGATTGTATTTGATTTGGCATTCCCACTGTATTGATTTTAGCATCATTGATGAGTCTTGTGTAGACGAAACGTGCTTCTAGTCTTCAAATTTTAAGCCTGGTGTCATGAAGGACTTTTTGCAGATCCACATTGATATCTTGATACAATGTTTGTATACATCTACAATTGTATGTCACAGTCACTTATCGTCCTAATGGGTATATTCAAAAGTAAAATAAAATATCCTGTAATTTCTTAAACAAATAATCAGGTTTCATTTATTCAGATTCAGTATCTCGCAATATAACAAAATTGTTATCAAGTATTATGATTAATAAACCAATTAATTTTCCACACTTGTTCATCTTTTTTATTCTGGTGTATTTATACGTGACATACAAACAACTAAAATAAAACACTAGAACTTACTATTGTTAACTAATCTAATAAGATTGAATATCTCATAAGTAACAAATAATCAAGATTTCAAATTATTTGATTTAGTTTGATCTAACAGAGTCATGATAATTTGGATTTTTGCAATTATAGGTCAACGTCCATGTTTCAACAATGAGCAAAACCAATACCTTTTAGTCAGCTATAAAATGCCCAGACGGAATAACATTTTTATCAATTCAAAACCAAAAAAAAATAAACGGTAATAAATATAAAGACATTAACCAACCACAATCACTGAATTACAGGCATATTAGAAAAGTCACATATAGAATGATGCGGTGTTAAACAGGTTTCTGAGCATTCAACCCTCCTCCTGACCAGAAACAATGGTGTAACAGTTCAACATATCAACAAGTACGGTCTGTTTGTTCTAGATTAACATCTGATGACCTCACCTGCAGAAAATATGACCAACACTGCGATACACTGTAAATGCATATTTTATACATTCAGGACAATATAAATGTGATTTTTCTCATATAAAAGAAGTACAAAAAAACATTTATGGTTCTTTAGATACTTTTAGTTTGGCATTGCTGTATAATGTTCGAAATAATTAGGATTTTCTTCCCCATGAATAGATAAGCTTAGTTGTATTTGGCAAAATCATTCGGATTTTATGGTTTGCAATGCTCTTCAACTTCGAACTCTATGTTGCCCTTTTAACTTTTTTTATTCGAGTGCACACTCGGCTTGAACAAAACTGCCCCCTCCCCCCTCATTAACTGGTATATATTAAAATTGTTTGTATCGATTTAGATTAAATGTGAACCGTATATATTAAGATTGTTGGTATCGATTTAGTTTGAAGGTGAACCGTATATATCAAAATTGTTTGTATCGATTTAGATTAAAGGTGAACCTTTATAACACAAACGTATATTGCAGGCGTGGACAAGGAATTGATACTTTCATGTTGTATTATAGGAAATCAAGCATTTTGCTTTGTCAGAAAAGACATTTTCTTCCATTGTGGGAAGACGTGTTTAAATAATTATGACATGATATATTTGAAAGTGTTATATAATTTCATCTTTTTTTTCAAATGATTAATATTTCTTTTATTGATTTAAAATGAAATCGCCTTTTTAAATGGCGAAAAATATTTGCAATGTTTCTAGATATTAATATTTTCCCTTCCGGATTTTTTATTGCACTTTATCACTTTAATTGGTCTCCAATGTTTTCTTGTCATTTTCGTTTTTTTTCTTCAATTTATAAGCGGAACTTGTCGTTATTGGCATGTTGATGCAATAGAATATTTCATACTTAAATTATAATTCCGGATTGTTTTGGCACATTGGGATTTATTCTGTAGATTATATATAGTACATCTTTGAGAAGGGGGTGTAGGGTTTATTTGTTGAACAATTTCTATTCAACTGTAGTCGATTGTATAATTTAGCTTCTCTAATTCTTCGTCAATTTATCCCTTTCTGCACCCATTGTATAAAAAAAATTTAATCAACGTGTGGTTCGTTTGATCTCAGTTCTTCATTGGTTAAAATCCGATTATGACGTCGAATTTTCTTGCTTTCCTCTGAATTTCCTATTGTGACGGCATGAAAAAAGGCGACCATGCCTGATGACGTCACATAAAAAGAACACATCTTTTTGCAGATCATTCGAAAAGAAGGAATACATTTGCCTGTGTATTGTTTGAAAATCATTAGAGAAACAGATTCCACCACCAAATCTCTTGTAATACGATATTTATCCACTCTCGACAGTTAAATTTTAAATATTTAAAACGCTCGGCGAGCCTTGCGTTTTAAATTTGAAAATTTAACTGTCTCGAGTGGATAAATATCGTATCACACTCGATGCAGTGGTAGAATCTATGTTTATCAGTGTGTGTTTTTTTGTGTTGGTTTTTAGGGGACGATTTTATGTAGGCAAGCAGCTGCGTAAAAGAGAGGCGAAAGATACCAAAGGGAAATTTAAACTCATAAGTCGAAAATAAATTGGCAACGCAATGGCTAAAAAAGAAAAATACAAACAAACAAACAATAGTACACATAACAATCTATTTAATTTTTACTCTAATGCAAATCGCTATCAACATTGAACACTTCGGACAAAATAGGTTCGCGAAGGGTTAAAATAACCCTAAGACTTCATTTTTTTTTTTAGAATACTGTACATTTTATATAAAAATAGTTATAACTACTTTCACACACCAACGTCTTTTTGGTACATCACATTATAAATTACGAAGTTATAACCCCAGATTCATGCATTATTCATGTTGTAACATTAGTTGGTCCAATTTTTCAACGTTTCTAACAATTTTTCGAAAAGTTGACATTAGCCGCAAACCCCGGTCCAGACAAATGTGTCTAGGGATTTAATATAAACATTAGCACCTTTTGGTTACATAGCATTTTGGATCGTAGGCTGCGGCAAAGGTTTTCGTTAAGTTTTTTTATTTCTCTGAAATATGCACACAATCTTCATTTGTTTACAACATATCCGAAATGTGGTGATTTATTTTACTTCACATTTAGACTTTTGAAATATATCCATTTAAGAATCAAACTGTGATCTTTTTGATAATTTATGATAACGTTGAAATTTAAGTCAGTATTTTAACGAAAGCGGTCCTTTGGTTTCTGAAGACTTCTTTATCTTCATTATAGATCTGCAACGGCTAACGCCCACTTGCTAGAATTGGTAAAATGGTACGTCTGCTGTGTACTCTACCCCCCCCCCCCCCCCCCCCCCCCCCCCCCTACTTCTTTTTTCCGATATATAGACCTCCGTGCTCTTATAAGGATGATAAAGAAAAAGATAAGGGAACCTACCCATTAGAATTTAAAGAGGAGTTCTTTATGTACATTTTGGTTCAGGGTTACTGAAAGCATTTGAGACCCTCATTTTTTCTCTATTGACAACTAGTCTGTATAGCTTGCTGTGCGGTAACAAATTGTTCATGGTGAAGGCCACGCGGTGACTCATAGTTGATACATTGTACTTCAGTTGGTCTCACTTTGAAAGATGTTTCATTGGCAATCATACCACATCCTCTCATTTTTATATGGACAAAAAATCCCATGCATATATTTTTGTATGAATAACGTTACCCATTCATATATCAACCATGATTGTAACATCCTTGATTATATATCAGATTTATATATTAAATTTCCACCCATTGAGATATAATTTAATCGAAATGATGAATGTATAAACATGAAAAATAAAACTGAGGTTTTGTTCAGCAAGTTTTTTTTTTGGAGGTGGGGGTGGGGGGACATCGCACATAACTAATCAATTCATAATACAAATTAATGACACTAAGTGGGCATATAATGAAAGACAAATGCTCAGAAAGCATGATGAAATATATTTGGCAATCAATCTAGTTATGTATACTCGTGGATCATTGAAACGTTACATAGAAAAATAAGCTGCAAAGATCACTAGCGACCCATGCCTATTGGATATTTAAAAGAAATTCTGGAATATATAAAAATCACTTCAAAAAAGGGAAGCACATTTTGTTAAAATATAATTATTTAAAATTTTGATTTATTTCCATTATCTCCATATCATTTGTTGATATTGGTGCATTTTGTGCAATTGTCTTATATATCGTATATTTATGATTATATTCCTAGTATATCATATCAATGCACCTCACTGGCTATCTTATTGGCGACTGATCTGCATTCTCAGGTAAATTGAGGTCAATACTCGTTTGACTGCTTGTCGAGTTCGTTTACAGTCTATATTGTTTGCAATTATTTCAGAACAGTTTGTACATGCGACTCTTTTATAAGTGATGGTATTACGATTTTTTTTTATTTGAATTGTGTGCTTTGTTTATACTTTTCTTTAATATTCATCGATTCGGGGCGACCCCCAGACTTTATTGCAATTAAATAAAAATCAATTCATCGTATCTTTTAAAGTCACTTATCTTTATGAATGTTTTAATTCAATTACAAAAAGAAACGTCAAAAGTCTCATCTTTCGTCTAATCAAATATGATACGAAACAATATTCCAGTGATTGCGTTGGCTGATAGACGGGTGCTGCTTGTAAGTACGCTGTCGTATCAAGGGTTTCGAAAAGTAAAGTTGAAGTCATCCTTTTCGAACGTTTTATGCACCCCTCGCCTTGTTTAAAGGGATTCGTGTTTCTAACAAACTTTATAACATAGCTTTCTGGAGAGTATCAAAGTGCAATCCTCGTTGCATGGCGTTGGTAAGTGCGGGGAAACATAAATACATGTCTAAATGTAGGATTTTTGAATTTTGAATTTTGTGAATTTTGAATTTTGAAATATGAACGATCCTTCTCTGCTTTCGTACTCTCCTTGTTCTCAATTACAAGTAATAATAATAAATGTCACTTTTGTTCATGTAACACACTCATATACTTGTGTTTCAATGTTAGACTCACAGTTTTGATTAAGGTGAACTAATTATAAGCACTCGACAGCTAATTGTGTTTGTCAATTAAGTTCAAGTGTAACCACACACAATGTACAGATGTAGGTTTAACAGTTTTTACTCGATAACCGAATTACAATAAATAGTTTGAAACTATCGCTGGAACAGTCAAACCCTTTGGTCGGGTTGTGGTCTTTTTGACACATTCCCCGTTTCCATTTTAAATCCAATACTATTAGTTTTCTTGTTTATGTTAACAATAATTCTGCCACCGTCTCTTTTTGCCTGAAATAATATCCGTTAGCATAATGTATCTAAATTGTTATTTACAGATTTGTTTTCAAAGATTTTTACAAAATTCATGGATTGCGTTATAAGATGCAAAACAATTTTTTATTTTAAATATTGTTAGCATTTCTGTTGAGTTTTCATACATAGTGTATGTTTTATTTTCTTCGAAGTGTTTTTGATTCGACTACCCAATATCTTCAAAATCCAAATATGCTGCAGAGAGTAACATAGGCATACATTTATGCAAATTGACATGAAGGTGCAGACAAAAATAATGCATGTACTTTTATAGCGCCAAGAAAACTAATAGAAGATAACGTCAAGACAAAAATATCGTAGTGTCCATATTATTCGTGGAATACCAATTTTCGTGGATTTAAATGTTATCATCAATGTACGACCCATATACACTTTTGTTCGCAATGTTATACCCATCTCATTTGTTATGATTCTGCTTGAATGATTTAAAGTACTCAACAGCTTATTCTTTTATCAAGTGACACAGATTGAAAATAAATCATTAATCAAAAAAGGACGGTGTACTGGAAAGTTGTCTATTTGCTACCAAAGTGTTTTATCATACATGGGATTCTAGTTTCTGTGTGATATCATCTATCCAAATGGTGTTGTGTTATTTATATTCATATTTATGCTGTCGTTAGATTCAAATCAGTCATTAATCTAATCATGCGCTGTTTGTTTGTTTGTTTGTTTTTATTACATTCAATGATAAACCTATAACACATAATCATATAATCAATATCTTATATGGTTTGTAATCGTCAGAAAGATTTCTCTGTGTTACACTTGTAGCTGTTCATACCTTGATTCTTGTGCACAAGACTGATTTAGACGACTGATTTTAAAAGTGATCATTTGATATCAGGTCCAGGAGACAACCATATCAAGTGTGAAATTAATGTACTGTTATTTTCGGTTCAAACTATTGTTTGTGTGTTTCGATGAAAGTCCACACAAAATTTAGACGCCGTAAAATTCCACTTAACTGGTTTGGAGTTTGATACTATATTCTGTGAATTAGATATGCAATTAGAATGAGAGATTAAACTAAACCGACGTGACAAACACATTACCAATCAACTCTTTGACAACTGGTTGATTTATGACGTTAAAAAGCGCCGTCACATATGTATACAATGTTCAAATGTTATAAATCTTCTCCATGTGTGATATTAAACTATGCTCACATGACAGGTCTTTTAATGATTTAGGACGTCTGTAATTATCAAGAAAGGGTCAAAAAGTAAATCATGACATTGATGTTTAATCTTATAAACACATATATAGGTCATAAGCCTGTTATCTAAAGAGAGCATAAGTCTATCATATAAGTGATTTACAACAATATGACACTGTAAACTGTATATAAGTAGAAGTTGTAGCATATATTTTATACAGGTGGTAAGTGAACGAAATAGAAACATGAAAAGAAATGTCTAAGCCAACAAGCGCCTCTTTTTCCTAATATAACTATCGTAGGTGGATTATGCACAGTTTGGAAAGTATATTGTTAACAGAAAGAATATCTTTAAAAGATTTAACGCACATACAAAAGGCGTTAACGAAACTACTTTTCCATTATGAGGATATGTCATTTTAAAAACTTGTTTTATGACATCTGCAACAGTTGTGAGGATAAGCAATAACATATTTAACAAATCCGGTTATAAATTACATGGGGAGGGGATGTCGATCTTTGAAATAAAAATATAACATTGTTCTTGATGCACAATTAAGAAGAGTTTCGTCATATTTCCTTAAATATTAAGTCTTGTGTTTTCCATTCTGTTCCGTTCATATATTTATGTATTGCATAAGCGTGAACAGTTATTGCGTTGTTATCTGCTTTGATAGAGTAAAGATTTTACATATTTTGTTGTTACATTTAACGAACAATTCGACACAATTACAACTTACGATATCTTCTCTCGTGTCTTGCTGTCGTTGCATATCAAATTTAAGTACAGTGTTGATATACTAAAAAAGAATGTGTAATATTTAGCAATGTAGCAATGGTATTATAATCATGATAATTCCAATATGAGTTAATCAAAATTAAAACAAATGATTTAATCTTCCATTTTCCTTGAATCAAATTCATTTACATTTCATAACTGTAAAACAATAAAAAAAAAATAAAATAAAAAAAATAAAAAATCCATAACGTAATACTTTTACTACATTATTTTATTACTAGAAACAAAACAAAAATTAGTATTTGATATAAAACTCACCTTTATCATGTTTATGCACTGTACAATTGAAACATCATAGATAATGCACATTAAAATAAAAATACAATTGTTTTTTTAAACTGCTTTTTAAACATCGTTTGTGTTGTAGTAAGCTAAGAAAACACTATGCTTGTAAATGTTTGAGTTTGACACATAAAAGATTTTTTTTAAATTTAAATAAATAACTAGTACGCAGTAAAGGTGTAAAGCAAGTTCAAGTTTTAGTTCACCATACATAAAAGAAGATCATGAATTACCAAAAATAGTTTACGATAAAAAAAAAGACCACACCAATTAAGTAAAGTTAACTATTAAATATTTACATATGACTGTATATATAATAAGCAAAATCAATAGCCATGGTTGTTAAACAGCTACATGCATTGATTAGACTGAAACATTATATGCAAAAGAAGGCATACGCACCCGCACATTAACTAGTCATTTTCACATAGTTGTTGCACATATTAAGACCATAATATTAATTTACGATTATATCTTTATAGGCAATATAACAGTGAGATAAAGCAGATCATTAGTTCTAATAATTGACTGAGACAAACAAAACAATAGCGGTGAAGGATACTATAAAACTAAATAAAAATGGATACAGAATCAATTATCAAATTTATATCATACAATGATTTTGATGATTATGAAGTTTAAATAATCGAACCATAATTATTTGTTGAAATAAATACTAAAACATAATATAATGATGTACTTCTCTTACCTGAAATACTATATATACTATCGATGCGGTTGGTGTCGGTATACAGGACAGTGAAATCGGTTCCTTGTGATGTATTACCCATTGCTAGTTGGTTGTGATTGGAAAAGTATACGTTCGTACCAAAGATGTCAATAGCAATGTTTTTGCAAGTTGGCGATTTGCAGTTTGTATTTATGATTGTTTTTACGTCAGATCCATCAACCCTACCTGAGTTCAGGTTACCGGTGATGTCTACTATCCAATAAAGTCTTTCATTTTCCATGTCTGAAATATTTTTGGACAGATAACTTTATAGTTTCGTGAGTACGGACGTTCATTCTTGAACACACACACACACACACCCCACGAACCAACGCCCACAAACCCCAAACCCCACCAAAGAAATACTTGTATTTGAAGTCACAAAAAAAAACAATGAGTTCATAGATAATAATCGTAATCACGAATAATCTAATAAAAACAGTTTTGGATAAAATATCTGAAAGTCGGAATCAGTTCTCATATATTTGTGATGTATGATCATTGATTAAATCTGATTTAATAGATTGCTATAATTCGTTTCAAGTATTAATGTCAAATAATATTTTTATGTGTACATACCTATATCCATACAGGAAACATCCCTGTATATAGTTTCAATATTTGTTTGTATTGAAAAATCAAGACTTGATTTATATATTTTCGAAAATCGTTCGACGACATACATCCAACTGAAAAATAAATAAAAAAATGCATGTTTACCAAACTACTATTTTCTCAAAAAATCGGAAGAAAAAATCCATAAAAAGTTTACTGAGTGTTCTGACATTTTTATACTACTACTTTCGTCAACAATCGCAGTTATAAAAATAAAGAAGAACACATATAAACAAAAACCAAAAAAATCCGAATAAAAACAAACAGTTGTATACAATAAATAGTAGCTGCCGAGTCCTAGAAAACAATTGACACAATGTTTGCAACATGCATAAAGGATACAGCCACCAGAGTACGCTGACTTATTCGTATAAATAGTTGATTAAATTGTTTGTCATTTACCCGCTATTTTGATTTGACTTTGGTTAGAATTAGTCGACTGTTACAAACATACTGTACTTGCCAAGATAATTGCCTTTAGTGGAGCATAATATGGTTACCCGTTTACTGCAATTGAGATCACCCACTGTATTATGTGGGGTTCTATTGCTCAGTCTTTTGATTTCTGTTTCTTTTCATAGTTTTTGGTTTTAGCCAAGGTTTTTTTTGTTCTTCTTCGATTCATAATTTGTTCATTCCTTTGTTATATTTTGCCTTTTTTAACTGTTTTAATTCTATTAATTTATAATGTTCAATGTTAATGTTAGCCTGTAGCCATGTGTTTTTTACTATAATTATAGAATAACTAATTGAAGAATTCAAATATTCAACTAGTGACCGAACAACACATTAATTCACGAATGCGCGTAGCGCATGAGTTAATTATCAGTGTTGTTCGGTCACGAGTTGAATATTTTTCGATATTTGAATTCTTTGATTAGTTATTCTTTTTATTACATTGGCAAATGGCTTTTTTTAATGAAATTAGTGTAGAACATGTAAGGAATTATATCTTTTTTTCTACGCATTCACAATTTGTGTTGATCCAACGTTATCGACGTCTTGACAACGCCTATTGTTGTATGACGTCAGAGAGTGAAATGAAATTATCGGTTTTTATTTGACTGGGAAATCAATGTAATTCAATGCTACCAATGTAATAATAATTATTATTTGAAATTTTCGAAGAATTATGGACTTATTTGACTATGGTTTTGTACTTTTATAATATAGTGGAGTATATTTTCATATTAAAGGTTATTTATTCTTGATAAAACATGATGTCATCAAGTAAAGCTGACCATACCATATCACTGGTTTCATTTCACGGTTCAAACAGATATAATTATACTTTGACTAGGTTTGCTTTGTTGTAGCATAATTGTACCGTGTACACGATACTCTTCTGAAACTGTTTTACGTAGAGTTTTATATTTTGTAATGCAATGTACCTGACTTTAGAAATACAAATTTATAATACTCTACATTTAAAATAGGTCCTTAACGCCCTTTTAGTGCAATAGCTGCCATTGTAATAATTATTTCATATCAAGAACAAACAGATACTCATTGTATAATCCAGCTCTAAAAAAATCATTTTTAAATGATTGAATATTCGTTTAAACTTTTATTTCAAAAATCATTTCATTAAATGCAAACACTATTAATAAAATACCTATTATTAACATCAAGTCGTATGACAAACGGATATTCAAGAGTTTGGGCTATTACTATAACATTTGATCCGTCTAAATTACATCTTACAATCCTTCCAATACTACCAACACTTTCAGTCCAATAAATATGGTTATGAATAGAATCAATAGCTAATCCTGCTGGTTTATTGTTTGTCGAGACAACTTTGTGTAACACTATGCAATGTGCAGGGTATCCAAATCTGAAAAAAGTTGAACATACCAATGTAATTGCAGAGTTGAGCTAAATATTTAGCTGGTGTACTGGCAAGATTTATACATAGCTCATAGCATATTCTATTGCTGGTTAGGGTGATATTTTTTTGAAAATTACTAATTCACCACTTGAACGCTAACCAATCCAATAGATATATTCAAATTTGATATCCTATGCCTTTCGTTTCTATCATGATTTCCTTGATTTTGAGTAAATGCGTTCAAAGTCAAGTAGGATTCGATATCAGGATTTCTACGTGGTAAACGTGTTGAAAATTAGACATTCCTTTAAAACTTTGCGGACGCAATCATAACTTGATTAAACGCAAATGGTGTCTGCGTATCAGATGCTAGGAATATGTTTCACTAGTCGTAACCATAATGTCGTACTCTTTTCCTCGATTATGTCAGTTGTAAATGTGATTTATCTCCAGAATTTAACATACATAAGCAACACGAGGGTGTGACAAATGAACAAAAATTCTATCATTCCATAGTATCTGGATTATCATCTGGTTTCGTTGTTACTCAATCTTTAATCTTATGTTTACTGTTTTATGCATTATGTGGTTGATTATTGTCAGTTCTTCGGGTTTTTTTTTACCGAATTAGTGTTTTCTGCTTTTATCTGACATACGATTTCAAATGGTCCTTATTATATTTTTCTTTCTTTCTGCAATATATGGCAACCGTGATGAATGAATTGATTGATTGTTGGTTGCTAAATGTACAAAGGCAAGTTTTTTATGCATGTTCAAGACTGGAACAAATAATCAATTAATACTAGACAACTGTATGTAATACTATGCAATCTTTGGGGTATCTTAATCTGAAAACAGTTGAAGCTTATGCTGTAGAGTTATAAACTGCTAACATGATTAGTTAGCTATTGTACCATGAGTACTGTTAACATAAAATGTTACTTATAGTGTGATTGGTTCGCTTTCTTTTCTTATTGTGTTGTGGCAAAGTACTCGAGCAAAAATAAATCCAATAGATATGTTTAACTCGATATAGCATGGCTAGCGATTCCTATCATGCTGTCCATTGTTTGGAAGTTTCATGGTAGCACGCATGATTCAATTAAACGTAAGCAATATATGTGTCCATTGAATAATCAAGCTTTATTTAACTATACTACAAAACTTACATAATAAGCGTTCGTTCAATATATCTAATATAAAAGCGACCATTTCACACTGGAAACTCTTTTAAGCAGATAATTTGAAAAGAAACGATTTGCCTCCTACAGTATTAAATGTATAACATTTATGAATAAACTTATTCACTGGCTCAATATTTTTCCATGGGTCATCTTCAAATTAACGGGCTCGAAACACAACACAACTATAACAAGAAGGATGTTAGAATCCGTGTGTAATAAGTTTCCATGTTGATTTCGTTAATAAGCTTACCTCATTATGTCGTTGTTAAAATATCTTGGAAAATAAACTTGTTTATTTTTGTAATCGTAATCAATGGAATACACTGTAGCTCCAAGTTCAAGCAATACAATCACTTTGCGTGTTTGAAGATCAAACTCCTTAATGGAGGCATTTTGTGTTGCAAACAAAATTTTGCTCTGAGCACCTGAAACGCAGTCATTCAAATTAGCATTGAAGAATATGATTTACAAGAACTTGTGCATTTATATGAAAAGGGTTACTTAATACCCTTCCAATGACATTATTTTCTTTGAAAAAAAATGTGGGGTGTTGACAAAAATGTTTTATAATTTTATACATGCTAACAAACTGTATATATATATATATATACAGTTTGTTATGTTGAATATCCCTTGTGGAAGTTATATGGACGCTCAAGAAAAGAACAAAAATTTGCCTCCGCGCACATATTATATTTATAATTACTCTAAATATCAGCACAACAATGTTAAATCTGCAAATTTGCTTCCGCAAATTTTTGTTCTTTCATCTTCGGGATTCGAACTCATGCTTTTGGGATATCGAGAAAACACCGCCTGCACTGTGTCCAGCGCTTTAGACCACACGGCTACCTAGACTGAACTAATAATTCAGCTTTCGGTGGCATAGTGTTACCTTTCCTCGTCAGTAGACTCTAGAGTTGTAACACAGTACATGATATATTAGGCATGAAGATATAATTGATAGCAGATTGGCTAAATATCTATCGTAAAGAATCGTAAGATACAGTCACAGAAATATTTATTTTGAAAAGTTCGTCTAAACAATTGACAACTTTACGACAGATCTATCCATTTGATCATCAGTGAGAGTGAAACACGGCTGAAAGCACATATTATATTCATAATTACTGTAAATATCAGCACAACAATGTTATATCGGCAAATTTGCGGAAGCAAATTTTTATTCTTCCCTAGCCGTGATATGAACTCATGCTATTGGGATATCGAGAAAACACCACCTGTACTGTGTCCAGCGCTCTAGACCACACGGCTACCTAGATATATATATACACTATTTGCTTGTAAAAGTTTATTATGATGAATACTTATTTTCATAACGAGTGGTAATTGGATATCGCTTTATAACAACTACAGTGATTTAATTTCAATATAATAATAAACAAGCCTGTGGCGAGTTGTTAAATTTATTTCCCATATGGTCAACACTCTCATTACATTACATTAAAAAAAATCCGCGAAATGTTGATCTATTCTTTTGCCCACACTAGTATGACGTCATATGTCCTGTTCCTGTGGCTAGATTTAACATCAGACATTTTTAAACTTTTTTTGCGCTTCAGAATATAATAAATTGGACAAAAAGAAGTTATTCATGTAAAAAGTGTGTGTGTTTTACATAAACCACATATGTCCATTGCCATGGACGAAATCTACACCGTCTTAGACTTTGAAAGTCATCAATTACCTAACAAAGAGCCGATGGAAATGTTGTTATATCGTCTCATGAGGATGGATAAGTCAATCAACTTAACGCATTTCACGTATCACTCAATATCTCTGAATGGATTTGATCATTCTTTTTATGTCATTTTGTTGATATTGCTACTTAAATTTTTTTTATACAATTACGACATTCATAGTTTGAACTAAGCATCCCTGATGAAGATGCATGAAGAAAGGTGCTAACTTCTAAAAGTGTTATTTCTATTTTCTAACACTTTTTCGAAACTAAACGTCCCCGAGAATATCATCAATTTAGAAGCCAATGCGTCGGTACTAACATGATTTTATGACATTCTTTTCTTGAAATTTACGTTGACAAATCTTGAAACATTAAGAAAAAAAAACGTGTAACTCCCTAAGACAACGTTGACCTTATCTTAATTATGTTATTCCTTTTTAGGTCACTTTTTGGTCATAAAGCACGTCGATTCTTCAAATACTTAATAAAAGTATGCATATTTGACCTTCAAATTTTGGGGTTTCTCTATTAATAAATCTTTATTTCTATATTATGTAATCAAGAAAAACATTTTTTTGATTTTGTGTTACAATTTTGAATTAGGTAATTACTAACTTAAATAGCTGTAACATATATAAAATTTTATAATGTCACTTATGTGCAAACATATCAGCATAGTTGATTATGGTCATATGTGACTTAATTCGATTTTTCCATTTGATGACCATTTAAGTGCTGTTGAAAAATTTTATCTATTCATATTCTTTTTCACGATATTTATTAAAAACGTTAAAATTGACACAAAATATATTCTCATTGAAGACAGTAACTACAACTACAGAGATTTAATTGATTGCTTAGGTCATTTTGAAGATCTCAGGCTGCTGATTTTTTTATGTTTATATAGTCTGTTTTTTTTTTTTTTTTTTTTTTTTTAATAAATATAGTTTTGAGAACGGGCAAATAACTGCCACATGAGGGGAAGACCTTCAATTCGGAGTAACATGATCTTGTAATTCATGCTTGAATTTCTGTAAATCGTGAATATGTCTTCAAAAGCGTTAAAGATAATACATAGGAACGCTATAATTTTCATAATATTGTCATATAATGACAGAAACACCTACGAAATTAATAGTTTCACAACTTTTACCCGCTGATCGTTCTGTTTATTATCTGGCCAAAGTGACTATGATTGTAGTTTAAAGAGTACAATACAACCTTAATAGTTATGCACCACACATATATTCTTCGATGAGATAACGTCTAGTGGTTTCAGATTACGACGGATAACGGGTGCCTATTCATGACACGTCTTGCCCTTGGTCATGTGGTTATAAAGGCTAGCAAGTGTTTGATACCTTAAACTTCGACATTAAAGCATCTTGCAGGGAGGGTATCATTTAAAAATAAAATGACAACAACTGAGAATGTTGTTTGCAAATATTTTTGGATTTGAATTAATGAAAATGGTACCATCTTAGGGTGTTTATATATCCCAATTAGTTCGTTATGCCCGTGTCTGTGGAGACGTTTTGGATTTATATACGATCTGGGTAAATTTATCAATCCTTTAAATAAACTTATTCAAAAAGGTAATCCATCCAACACTGAAATTAGATCTTTGAATATTGTTTTTATTGGTATAATTATTGATTTCAGTACATTAAAATCATACTAAATAGTTTGTTTTATACACATATGCACTTTAACGGTACTACAATCTGTCGATTCCTTCATTTTGGCATTGTACAAGGTCATGTTTTTCTCTGGCTGTTAATGACGTCTTTATACTAAATCCATTGGATGTTGGATGTGTACTGGATGATATTTTTGTCTTAGATACATGATTTGTTTTTATTAGTTGTTTTGAACTAGCTGTCAGTAACTGCGAGTACTTTCGCATCTGTACTTAGTGTTCATTTTATTGTTAGGGATTATGGTTGGATGAATACCCTGTCACGTCTGGTCTATGTTTATGTTTGATGTTATTCTGCTTTGTATTGATGTGATGAGTTAAGCATTTTTCAACTAATTGTTTTAGTTTGTTCTTATGTTGTGCTGTTACACAACTGTCCCAGGTTAACCCAACGTTAATCCAGGTTAACCCCGCCACAATCTTTATGTGCCTGTCCCAACTCAGGAGTCTGTAGTTCAATGGTTGTCGTTGGTTTGTGTATGTCATATTTGTTTTTCGTTAATTGTTTGGTTATAAATTAGGTCGTTAATTTTCTCAATTGAATCGTTTCATATTTTTCATGTCGGGGCCTTGTATAGCCGCCTTTACGGTATGGGTTTTTCTCATTGTTGAAGGCCGTACGGTTGCTTATAATTGTTGACATCCATTTTATTTGAACTTGTGAATAGTTGTCTTATTAGCAATCTAACCTCATCTGCTTTTTTTTACATTCTATGCTATAACATCCTCTTAATCTTAACAATAAAAAGCTGTCGCTAAATATAGTCTACTTTACTAAATGTATTAAAGGTACATTTAAATGAATACTTACATACTAAACTAAAGGTGATCTGTAATATCAAATATTCGTATACCCAATTTTGTACGTCCATTTTCTTTTAATTCTTTTTTGTTTGTGTATATTGTCTGACCCTGAAGTCATATACCTTGTATCACAGGTAAAAACAAATTGCCTGTTAACGGATACTAAAAAAAAAACAAATTATCTGTATAAATTTTAGGTATAGTGAAACTGACACATGATAACACAAAATCGTTCCGATTTACATCTTTCGACTCTTGTTACATGTCAAATATGTTTTTAAATGATATAAATATGTAAAGAAGAAGAAATGTTAACCTGATTTAAAAAAAGGTACACTTTCAAAAAAGAAAACTTAAAATATACGGGTGAAAAAGTAATGAAATGTCGTCAACATAAAAAAAAAATGGAAGGAGGGAGAAAAGGGGGGGGGGGGTTCTTGTTATAAACGATGGTATGTTATCATACCAGTAAACGAGATATTAACGATATCAATCTGGTTAAAATCATCTGAATATAATTTCAATTAATGTTTAAATAGTGTAAATATTCACGTATTATCTTTCAAAATATATAAGTATATGATGCAATGTCTCAGCCTGAAGTCTCTTCGGAACACTTATATGTCTTTTTAGTGATTGTCTAATTAAACAGAAACAAAAATAACGCATTATCAGTCCTTTCTTTTCGACTTTTAGTAATTATCCTACAATTTTTTGTCACTTTGACAAGTCTCTTGACAACTAAAGATTATAACTAAATTTTTAAATAAAATATGTGATTATAATGTATTAATTATTTCTTGACTACAAACACTTAGGTTTTTTATTTAATCATTTGTTAATTTGAAAAAAAAAACATTTCGTTCAATATGCTCTTTTGGATACTAGTACTTGTCTCATTTGCAATCGTACTGCATGTCCTTATATTTTCTATGAAAAGCATCAATAATACTAATTGAATAATGAAGAACTGAACTTGAAAATAAATAATAGACGCTAAAGATTATGTACTTCTGCACTCACATATATATGTTATATCTAAAAATAAGAAGATGTGGCATAGTTGCCAATGAGATAGCTCTCCACCAGAAACCAAATGAAATAGAAGTAAACAATTATAGGTCACCGACAGGCCTTTAACAATGCAAAAAAACCATACATATAGCATGTATTTTATTTATAGTTTTAGAAGATGCTATCGAGATGAAAAGTATTGATAGTAAAAGGAAAATATCTGTATATCATGTATATAGCCACGAAAAGAATACCTGATTAAACAATTTCCATTACATTTTCCCCTACTAAAAGACAGAAAAACATATCATCTATGGAGATACGGAGAACTTCTCGCATATAGAGTAAATATTATTTTCATAAGAACCCCAGATTTGTCAATTGAACATTAAATCTGCTTATTAAACTGAAGTATATTTAATCAATATCTTTACGTAGACAAACACTTTGAAAATTATAACCTTTTTATCATGTTGATGTCTTGTTTGAATTCTATCTGTAACTACCGTCACTGTTATCCACACTGATAACATTGTAGTATTTTAATTTCTAGATAACGAAAACCGTACAAATCTCAAGTACGTATAGGCTTTTAAAATGTATTTTGATACAACATATTAAAGTTTTATTGAAAAAATTCAAAACACAATATTACATGTAGTATTACCTTACACTATAATTGCCCTGAAAATTACTTCCTTTCGTTCAGGCCATAAGATACTACCTGGCAAAAACTTCCGTGGATTTTCTTATACATTTTACTTTAAACATATTTTATTTCAAAAATCATTTACATGACATATACATATAAATGCAGTAATATCTAAATACAAAGGGGTTTGGAAACAAGGTTTTACTCATATTAATCCGTCTCTCTATCTAAAGATAAATGGAAATACATGCTTAATAAACAGGTTTTTTTTTCGGTAGATTTTTCCTATGCGAATGTACTGGTGGCGGTGTGTGTTTCCAGGACTTTGTCAAAACTGTCTTACCCAAGTTACGATCCTAACCATTAAAGAAGACGCTATAGGCCAAATCGCTTTGAAACTACTACAAATTGTTAAATTTGTTTAGACACGGATACATTTTCTTCTTGACTGAGAAAAATGTTGCCAAACAGGAGTGTTTTTATATTGTATTGGAACGCAATTAATTTTTTTTTTATTCTTGTGTTTCATTATTGCGTATGTGCTTTGGCTATATGCCATTTTGTTTTTCTTTGTTGACATATTTGTTTGTTTTTATAGTGATTGAGATTTTAACACAATGTTGGCTGCAGTACACCAATTTTTGCTATTTTTATCTAGTATGTGTGTTTGTTTTGTTCACACATTGTTGTCAATATAATTGAATTCAATGCGACTGTCATACAAGTGAGAGGTTAAACTAGCTTTAAAACCAGGTTTAATCCGACATTGTTTACATAAGGAAATGCCTGTACCAAGTCAGAAATAATGCAGCTGTTTTCCATTCGTTTGATGTGTTTGAGGTTTTGAATTTGCCAATTGTTGAGGCACTTTCCGTTGTGAATTTTCCTTGGAGTTCGGTGTTTTTGTTGATTTACTCTTTTCTTAAGCCACTACTCTGGCGACTTTTGGTTTACAGCAAAAGTTTGGAAAATATAAAAACAGCACTGTCAAATTCTCGGACCTGTATATATTTTCTTTTCAATTGTTTAGAGGTAACTACAAGGACACAGACGGAAATCAAAATCGCTCGAGTATACCTAATTATTATATAATGCATGAAACAGCAGTTAAAATAGACCTTAAAAAATCAGAAAATTCGAAACAATTGCCAAAAAGACAAAGGAGAGACGAAAGCTACCAAAGGGATATTCAAACTAATAAGTCGAACAAACTGACATGACATGGCAAAAAACAAAAAATGACCAAAATGACAAACAACAGTACAGAAAACAGTACATGGAAAACTAAAGACTGAGCAACACGAACCCCATCAAAAACTGGAGGTGATCTCAGGTGCTCCGGAAAGGTAAGCAAATACTGCTCTACATGTGATATTCTCTACGAAGAAACAACTTTAGGTCACCGTACGGCTTTCAATTGTGAGCAAAACCCATACCGGTCAAATAGCAAACTATTAAAGGCCTGGAAAGAGTTATATCAAACAATTCAAATGAGCTTACCTGAATTAAGGAAATATCCGTTTAAACACAGTTGCAACAGAGATGCCACTATTTTCTAAATAAGGTTGCGAACCATGTTCATGAATGGACAGTCTAATGCCAGCCTCTGAAGCTATGTATGGGACATAATCGCCTTGATTAACATTGATTAACATCTGTAATGCTTAATAAACAAAAGATATAGTTATATAATGATAGCATGTATAATGAAATAACTAATAATAGCAATTCATACATTTTAATTGTGTGCATGTTTTACTTAAATTAATTAAACTGTATACACATTAAAAGTACGATTACCTATGATTGCGTATATCCTACCACAACCATATCTTATTTCCTTGTGTTTTATATCGTCGATACAATATTAAAAGCTAGTGTAAGTATGATAAAATGATCGTCGTAAAAAGTTCAAGAACTATAACATAAAATTCAATGGTTGAGTCACGTGGTGCTCAATGTTTAAATTTCAGGGTAATTGCTTTAAGGACTATTGCTTGTTTCGTCGTAATTTTTTTAATTTTTTTTTTTTTATTATCTCAATATGTTCCCTGTTCTGATCATTTCAAATTGTTTTCAATGATTTGAACATTGGATTCAATGAGAATGAAAAAAATCAATTACAATTTAAACGAACTATACTTGCCAAACAGTGGGCCTGCACGTCTTGTAATGAGTTTTTCTGTTGGAAATCTATAACACTGTCCTAAGTAGTTGTCGAAAAAGGGAGTAAACATGCTGAGGTAAAAAATACGATACTAAAGATTATTCTACCATACGATTAATTGTGTTATCAACTAATGAGAATTGGATATTGTTTGTTATCAGTTCTTCATATTGAATTACATTTACAATAATTAATTTGCTTAAGGCTAGTTTCTTAATTTATTGAAATTGAATAACGAAAGTTCAAATCTAGAGATATTCAGTTCTCTTTCGTTGTGAATCAATGATATTCACTAGTTTTGTGTATGTTTCAAGGAACATGTGTATTAATGCTAGACCAAAAAAAGGTCATCTACCGACTTTTATAGATAAATGAAAATGACAAATCGGATCTATAGATTCTAAGAAATAATTCATGAAAGAGACAGTATCATATGGTGTGTTTTCGGCTGTCATTTACTATATTAATTTAATCATAATTTCTAAATAAAATATTTACAGAACTGATCAACAACTATTTATTTTGCAACAAACTAAACATGAACTTCGGAACTAAAAAGTACACATCAATTGCTATACACAATTCAAATTGGAATATTCTTTTTATATAGATCCCTTTTAATCAAACAGCGCCTCAGATATCCAGGTATTCATCTTTGAATTTCAAATGTTTGGGTCAAACGAAATTCAAAATTTTTTTTCTAATCAAAAGAGACTTTTACAACTTTTAGATATTTAAAGTTTATTTGAATTGCTCTATATATCACATAATTACCACTACATATTCAGAATAAGAAAGTGTTTGTATAGTTGAAATTTCGTTTAGAGAAATTCAAGATAACAGCAAAAAACACTTTATTTAATTGCATAGAGATTAAGGCTTACAATACATACCTTCTATACTGTACACCAAGTTTATGTATTTGTGTGAAGCATAATGATATGCATGTAAGCACAATACAAGTTCAGATAAGCTTCCCTACAACGTGCTTGCTAGATACAATTCTGTTCATCCCATGTAATGTTGTATTTCGTGCGAAATTTTGTAAAGCAACTTTTATCCGCTTTGAAATCATTGCATCACACTTTCACAATTCAAACTAAATATCTGTATATTTGTTCTGGTTTTTGTTAAATGATACAAATAGCCGTATTTTGATAACCGTTTTCTATATTTGCAGTTGATATTAAAACCAAAAAAACTGTATTAGCCTTTCTATGTGATATTTCTGTTATTAATTAAACAAACATCTCTTGTGTAAATATAACTAAGTTTAGGTGATGTAAGATGCATTAATCCCTCAAATAGTACAGCTATGCTAGTTTAATATTTACATAAATAGTAAAACAAGAATGGACATTTTTAACGGGTA